TGCAGTAGTGTGTGATAAATCCACCCAATATAAAGTTTATTTATTTAAACACATAAACATTGATACAAAGAGGCACCAATTATATATGCTCCACACTTCGTCATTCGATTTGTGTAAGCGCTGAAATACTGCCCGCGCGCCCAAACCGAAGCAGGTAGTTTTCTTAAGGGACCACGCCCGGAGCCTTTGACCTAAAGGTCTAATCCACAAGGCAGTGAAGCAACTTTACCAAATGTGGTCCCATGGTAGCTAGTGACCAATAATCCGTTTTCTCCCTCAGTATCCGGAAGCCCATGTACACCATTGGTTTGAAATCAAGGTTTTCCTATTACCTAGATGGATCTTCCATATACACCAACCCGGTTAAAACTCCGAACATTCGCTTTTCGTCCTCTCGATTTCTTAAACACCCCTACTTCAAGAAGTCAGTGAGTAGGACTTCTATGGCAGTGGCTGTATACGCATTACCGTGTAAGGTGATTTCGTGAGAGAGAACGAACTCTCTCCACCCTCATTCGTATGTGGGCATTCGGGGGCACCCAATATAAACATGAATAATGACTGTATACAAACTTTTTGTCATCTAGTTCTTGAATCATTTTACCTTGTAATACAAATTAGTTATCTAATAATCGATCAGTATTTTATGATGCACTTATAGAGGCACAGGATATGTTTCTTATCATTGAAAGTCATACTTTGTCTCTGTAGGAAAATCACGCGGTATAACTTCCAGGTGCGAAAGTTTTATGAACTTTACGCATAAAGAAATCAAATATCTGTGAAATTAAACATAAAATATACTGTTGTTGAATGTTAGCCAATATATAACTTTTATGTTTTAATACGTTTATTCCAGCTGGTTGTATATTGACTAGAAGCTGTGGTAGTTCATTACGATAAGTTTTAAAAGATATGATCCACAACCTTTTATAAATACTTATTCAGTTTCAACATAAAATAGGTGACTTTATAGTGAGAAAGTAGATGTGCTTACATTCTATCAACAGCTTCTACAACCAGTGTATTCTAGAAGAAATGTTAATAATCTTATTAACCTATAAGGTTTTCGAGTCAGTGATGCGTAAACATTAGACATTGCTTTTATCGAGGCATTCAATACCATTAGTTCTTATAGTGACATTCCTTCCCCGTTTCTTTGAACACTTCAAAATGCATATAAAAGGCAGGTATGAATTTGTTCTCAAAATTGGTATAAATGAAGTTCATAGTGTTAGATATTGCTGCTTCGAAAATAAGTAATCATAGAGAATAAAACCTTCGAAACTGTACAATCGTAAATATATATACTTAATATTTTAGGATGATAATAATTACAATAATAATGATAATAAACTTGTGTTAGACATGGTGAAAGTGAGATAGTATAAACAAAGGTATTAAAAAAATTTTAAATAGGAAAACTAATAATCTAATAGTTGAACTCATGAGTCAATTGAAGCTAAACCACCATGGAAAACCTGGAAGGCCGTTTCGTCCTAGTATGGGACTCCCCAGCAGTGCGCATCTACGATTCGAACCCAGGACATATCGGCTCCACGCGTGAATGCTTAACCTCTAGACCACTGCTTAGGAGTCTCATACTAGGACGGTCGTCCAGGTTTTCCATGGTGGTCTAGTTTCAATTTACTCATGAATACAACTATTAAATTACTAAAATCTCCACAAAACCCTCTCTGATAATAAAGTAATAGTCGTTTGATTGTTAATGGCTTAAATATTCAGTCGAAAAGAAAACATTATACATGGATTTCGCCTTTAAGGGTGACATAGCCACATATATCTTGAAGAGGAGAATATCTGATTCTCTAAAAAGAACGTTATTTCTCAGCCAATCATTGTTCACGAATAATTTTAAGGATAAATTATCTCATCCGATCAACTCAGTGTGCATTTACCAATTTACCTGCTCATGTGGAGCGAGGTATATAGGTCGTTCGATGCGTACTTTATCCAAAAGAATTCAAGAACATTACCCGGCGTGGTTAATAAGAGGAGGAAACAGCTCAATAAGAAGTTCAATAATCCAGCATATTCATATTCTTCTTTCTTTAGAGCCATTTGCTTCCCCTTCCATCTTCTTAATCCTTCTACCCTCATCTGGCTTACTTCTGCTTCTATGATCCTCGTGACTACATTTAGTTTTTCCCTGTTTTAAAAATTTTCTTAATACCTTTGTTTATTCCATCTCATTGTCACCATGTCTAACACAAGTTTATTATCATTATTATTGTAATTACTATCACATGTATACGATTGTACAGCTTTGAAAATGAATTCGCCGAAAAGAGAACTCTTCGCTGAATCAATCTTTCTTAATTAATGTCTTAATGGGTATATTTCGTTTATTCAATAAAATTTTCGTCAAATGTTTTACACAACTTACACATTTCATATACAGGATTGCTTACTTAATCAGATCACACAACAATTAATCCCCCTATGATTATATTTGATGACAAATCTATCTGAAACTTTGTTTTCCAATTAAAAAATCAAAACGAATTCACCTTTTCCCTAAGTTTCATTTAAAGAGCTACTACGAATCTTGGAAATTTCAGTGAAACAACTAACACACTTCGAGATACTTAATTTCGAATAAAAGACAAAATATCATCTATACGAATATATGTATTTACAAATTAACTCACGTCCATTAAGAAGTAATATACATTGAAGAATCTAATGTAGTGTTAAACTTTACCAAAGAACATCTGAGCTTTGCAGAGAGATCTAATAATAATAACAGTATAGATCCAGTCTATAATAGCAGCTGTACGCCGTTTTCAGCAAACATTAGGTCGGTTTCAGAGAATATACAAATAACTTAAACAGATAATTAAAGTAACTCATTTTGTCATTGAATAAAAACATAGAGAGGTCCGAGATTTAATTCCCTCTAACCTCTCAATCACTACGCAAACGTCTTTCAATATATGAGACATCGGATCACTTTTTCATGTAATCTCTTTTCGGCCTTCTATAAAATCATACATTTGCTAAATAACTATGGGTATGTATGTGAATGATTTTGTTCAAAAAGATATTTTCTCCGTTAAATTCCCTTCAACTTAAACGGACTTCGAAGAAAAGTACCTAAAAATTTTTGTTTTTCACTAAATCCGACTGCGGTCAATATAAGCGATCTTATAACCAAACCAATTCACATTTAGCTCGTTTAAAATCACACTGAGAAAACACGAAATAGTTCACTGAGTCACAGTCTAATAATCATACCTATTCACACACGAGTACATAGTAGGACGTTTAATATAAGGTCACATCCAACCTGAATGACCTAACAGTGATATACCAGGCTTGTTTGTAGGTAGTAAGTGGTTGATCTCAATTGTTCCTTGTTTTATTGATATTTCGTTAACCTAGGAGAGTTAGTCGTCCTTTGAGGAAGCACATCATATTTAGTTATCAAATTCCAAAAACTCATGTTTCTTTTCGTTAGAAGACGCCATTTCTATTTTAGATAAACGTTCTAGTTAACCACATAGATATTCCCCCTAATTATTAGGTCATGACTTTGAGCTTTTACAGTCGCTTATTTTTTATTAATATACATAACAGTTTATATAAAATTTCGATGATTTCACGTACAAACACTGCCTGTTAACTAGTTCAAATGGATCAACACTATAGTTGCATTGGTTTAAGGACTTAATTTTCAAATATTTGAGGTACATATTACAATATTACGTTTGCCTTCTTCGATTTATGTAATATCTCCGACTATGACACAATAAATTCGGTTTAGAATATAATGAAACAAAACAGTACAATTATAAATCTTATTTGCGATAAGTATATTATTCATTTGTAAAAGATTTACGCTTCAATGTGAATGAATTAGGCTACAGTATTTGCCTAAATAATTTCTCATAAAGTATAATGATGTACATGAACACTACTAGAATGACTTAGATACTTTCGGTTCTACCATACTAAATACAAGATCGCGAATAAAACAGTAATTATATCGACGGTTGAGAAATGCAATATTCAATTATGATAAATGAAAACGGGACTTTTAAGAATAATTTTAAATTTTTCAAATTTCACACGTACATTTGAATTCTATAGGGTGCCTTTAGAAATCCTATTCTTAGTGATTGATTTTCAAGTACACCTATAGTGTCCTTATGAAAATCTCATGAATTTAACATTGTATCATCGCCGGATAGAGCTGTATCGGAATTTTTCATTTCTGGTTACTTCGCTTCGACTTATTGCGTAAATATAAAGTACTCCTATTGTATTCAGTTCACTAAATACTGTAGATGAATTAATATGTAGCATGATTTGAGCGAAAATTTGTTTTCAAACAACTGTAGAGAAAATAAATCATATAATTCTGTTTCATATACATATATTCTGATATATTTACATTATGTAAAGTTTCAATATAAGCTTAATCATTAGCGTATAAATGAATAAAAATATGAAAACAGACGAAAAATCTCATGAAAAAGAAATAATACGAAAAGTTAAAACAATCATTCATTATCACAAGTATAACAGTAAGCGGCAGGAAACAAACAACATGAGAAACAATGATGAAGGAATGTATTTTAATGCTTTACTCAAAGTGGTAAAATACAAGAAAAGGATTATGTAAAATTGATAGAAAGGGTTCAAGTCACTTTCATAATTAAATAACACAAGAGTATTACATATTTACAAAAAAAGATGTTGAAACAACACAAACATTTCCTAGACACAAAGTTATAAATGAAGAACTATTAACAACACCTTAATTCAAGTTATTCTAAATTGATGCTACTAATACCAAGTTGGTTTAGTAGTATATGAACACATTTGAAAAATTTGTTCAGAACCAAGTATGAAAGACGAATGACTTAACAAGACAACTTTTTATCACATATTCATTCATGTTAAATAATAATTTAGAATAATACAGTAAAGATGGCGGTCATTTCAAAAGTGGTCAGAACAATCTCTGTGGTGAATTATCGAAATTTGGTAACAATCAGTAGAACACCGAATATAATGACCAATCCAGCCAATACAAGGATAACAATCATTTTACGATCCTTCGATTGGTGACTTTGAGCTTTTGTCAAGTGCTTTAAACCCTCTTCAACTCGAATTTGAGTATGCTCCACATTATAATCGATACGATCCACTAATGTCCCCTAGAAAAATGTATCATATCATCCAAATACATTAAGTGTAACATGTTATGACGCAGCTTACACATAATTTAATATAAACTTAAGGATTGTTTTCAAAATATTTAATTTATAGATCGTATACTTTAATTAACTGCAAACTGTTCACACAGTTCTCGTCATACTTGGGACACGTCAGCTGGATGTACTTGGAACCTAGTTTTTGTCTTTTTCTGCTCATTTGATCAAAGTGGCAAACGTCGTTGCATTTAATGAACGCTCATTTTTATACGAGATCTATAAAAAGCATGAGAACTTACTACTCTAGTCTTGCAATGTTTAGTAGTATGAAGTGATAAGTTGTAACGTTCATACAATAATATCGTTTTACGGTACTTAGGATTAGTAACTATTTTATGACAAACTTTGGTTCGTCCGGAACTTCCTTTCTGTAGAACTACAATTTACGGAAGGACCAATCATATTGAAGATGGTCGATCTTGAGATTTTTAATAAAATTTGAGACCCGATGACGAATAACTATTACCTTATTGAAAGCTAAGTAAAGTTTTTTTAATATTTCTTAAGGTGCTAGAAATTAATACATAAATCAATATCATTGGCAGGAAGGATTTGGAATTATCCCTCCGTTGATAAGTTTGTTCGGATTTTAACCAGTCTTGGATTCTTCTATTAGTCACGAACCAAACTACGTAATAAACATATTTGCTGTGCAACAACATGGTGGGCATGACATGATATGGAAATCAAATTACACGAGGCTCCTGTCATGATGCAGATTGTATAGGTAATGTCAATCGCTAGTTAAAGGTACTTGATGTGACTTAGGGGATAACTAAGAATATTTATGAGGTCTCTCGTGAAGTACGACTTAACCACTGGGGGAGATTTTTTCAAAGGATACCATTTATACGGATGATTAAAAAGCGTAAATGTTATTATTATTGGGTCACCATTGGGATTGAAACCCTTCTATTACATTTTGTGAAAAATACGAATACTCTTGAAGGGTTTTCCTAACCCGAGTCGGATCATTCACCAGTGCAATAACCGTGGATTATTAATTTTCAAACTTGGAATTTCTGAAACCGAGAAACATTTTAAGCACATTAGATTGTTTAATTTACGAGAGACAATTATGATGTGCCATACGTGCAATTGATTTGGTTACTATATATTTTGAGAAGGCTTTGGATAGTTTAAATTGGTTCTTAATCTTTTTAGTAAGCAGTTTAGAAAGAAACTCCAACATCAAACAGGAAATCAACTGTCAGTGAACAAGCATAACACAATATAATTTCGAGAGGAAAAGTTCATACTTCTGATATAATACCATCATATTTGTAAGAATTTTTTTGTTTTACCAATTCTACAATACCTAACAAGATCTTATTTTATTTATGATGCTTTCAAATACATAGAAGAGCAAGTCAAAAAATGTAATCGCAAGTGAATTTCATTTCATCTAACCATACTACTTACAAGTAGTCCTTTTTTTAATACCAAAGTTTCTTGTTTGGATCTTATTGGTTGGCACAATTGCTAATCGTTTGACCATATTGAATCGATTTGTTTCTTCGCTAGCCGTACTTAACGATTTTCGTATTTATCATACCGAATATAACCTAAAAACATTTTTACTGAATACATTTATATATTCTTCAAAAACAAGGCAGATATCATTCAACCTTTAATAGGTTTATTCTGATGAAAACAATACCATGATCATGTGGAAGATTGGAAGACGCTAATCATTAATCTCCTTTAGAAGTTTCTATAAGTAGTGTCACATCTCATGATGTGTTTTGCTATAAAACATCATCTAAGACTTTTGTTTGGTTGCTTTTAAACATTTTGTTCCCATTTTTTAAAACAAAAATCATAAAAACTTAACTAATGTAAATTTAGTCTACGTGTTTTGAGCTAGATATTAAGTTGATCCGAAAATGTTTAAAGTGCTTACTTGATCCACAACCATTTGTGCAACATCGCGAAAAATCTCATTCAATTCATGAATAGACTGAACAATCTGATGAATTTCTTGTTCACGTTGTACAACCATGTTTGTATTTTCTGTAAGTAATAAACTCCGTCTTTGTTTTTGTGATTCCCAAACCTACATTCATATTGTAACAAGTAAAAATTTCGATAAGCGCAAAAGTCACAATGGAATGGATAGCATTACAGCATGTATGATGATCTACAAGTTAGATAACTAATATTCATACTCAAACACAAATAATTGGTTGATAAATGATCATTTTTAGTGATAAAACGAGCTGTAGAGATATTGAGTTCGGTTGGATATCCTGGCCAAGATATTTGCTAAATCTTTCAACTACTAATTCAGAATACCTTATGAACAGTCTAGTCTTACATATGACCGTGCTTTTTTGACTACACAAAAATATTTCACATCGTATGTTTTACCCTAAACAAGTAAATGACAAGTTGTTATGAGTTAAATATCCTTTCAATATTTCAGTTGATAGTGATCTTCGTTTCTCCTAATTAATTTGCATCTTCGCTTTAACTATGTGCATTTCTTGCGAGCAATTTTATGTGTCAATAGAGTTAGAAACGGCGTAAAGTCGACAGATATTAAATACTCCTGTACATTTATCATGTTTTTTTATGAGGAAAAACACCAATGAGGTAATTCGACCGCTCAATCGAAATCAAGAAATTTAACGAAATCGGGTTTTCAGTGGCAATTAATGTTAAAAATGAATTTTATCAGAAAAAAGGTGTATTGACTTACAGCATAATCACCATCTTCAAACTCATTTACCAGGTTGTTTGATGTTGATGATGTATCTCCTATATTTAAATCTATATTTAAGTAACTACGTATTCGTTCATCTCTGGATCGAAGTTCTGAAAATAAAACAATTACATAGTACCATATATTCGTAATATTGGGCACATAACATATTAGCAACATCTACTCATTGGGATATTACAAATATATTATTTATTTATAACAATCTACCCAATGCTCAACTTATTCGAAATTATCAAATCAAACCTTGGTAATGATACCTATAAATTAGATAGTACCACTTTTTAAACTTGACAGAGTTATCAACTTCTAATTGTCTGTAACTCTAATAAACCACTGTATAAACTACAAACTATTTACCAATAAAATGTTGAAAAAGGCTTACTCCATTGTTTAGTGTTGGCTTTTAAACTACTTATTGATGCTTTGGTAACGTTAAAACTAAGAAACGATAATCTTATGGTCAGGATTTTAACAGTGCATTTAGGCTTTGTACTCAGCTCCACCTACTTCAATTTAAGCGCCCTGGTAGTAGTTTTATTTATTTAGTTCACATAGTTTCATACTACTTGGAGCTAAAAATAGTTTGCACACAAACTATATGGCTCAAAGCCGAGTACATAAGCTTTGATTTGGATAATCACTTATATTATTAGTAATCACAGTAAAGAATAAATACGTAAACATGAAAGATTAAAGTGATCATTCCGTCATTTGAGAGTCATATCAAGTGTGGTGATTTTGCACTAGTAGCCTACTAGATTATTACTCATATTAATCAGTCGCAATTTAAAATGAGGGATACAAAAGTTGTCGTGTTCAACTATCATATCCCTTAGTAGCAATTAGTTTTATTATTATATAACCATATAAGATAGGTTTTTTGCTATTTGATAGAAGCGTTAACAAATAATCATATTTTATTCATTCACTTACTATATATAATAATCAGTCCAAGCGTTTAGTTTATGAGCATAGATATGTTTAACGCCTACTTGAATGACTCAAACGCGAATGCAAGTTGAAAAAAATAGCTTTATAGTTGTAGCGAATGTGAACGAGCCGAACTTAGTTGTGTGTACGCAGATGTTCATATGAAAAGACAGCAATGTATAAATACCATTTTTATGATAGTTCAGGTCGAAATAGATTGTATTATCCTGTTGTTGATATTTCTGAATGGAATTAAATCAGTCTTGGTTGATATATGTGCATCTTAGACGGATTTTTTGATATAGCAAATGTGATACAAGTTAGTATCCAATTGATGGGATGTGACTAGCAGTGGGATTCAGGGACGCTGGTACATCCATCTGACGAGTTCCAAATAGGACGACACACACATCCTGGATCACATTTCATCTGTTCTATTTATACGATAGCTCAGTTGTCGGATGAATTCTAGTATGGATTTCACAAAGGAAACTAACGTGTAGCAGACATGTGAAAACGAAAATTATTAAACCTAATTTAGTGGCGTAACGTATAATCCATGCATAACAGAAACAGCAAGTAATATGGTAGTAATATTGATAAGTGTAAAAATTCTATGAATTATCTGCTCAGATTCGCCTTACAGGACGGTGCCATCATCTTAGTATGTAATGTTTGTTGCAAGATATCACTAGTGCTGAAGAAGAAAAAATATTACGTAGTGGTGTTTGAGCATAAACAACAAAGACTAGTAATGGCAAGCATCCATAAAAAACTTAATCTGTTCCTCTTCGGGTAATGGTACATGTTATTACTGAATAGTTAACAGAGTTGAATTATAAGTAGCATTGATATCAATCACACTAAAAAATTTGCAAACCGACTTAGAAACGCTTTAATGATAATTATATTATTGCGCTTATATTGGTTACTAGACAGTGACTAATTAGCATATACATCTCAGTTCTACAAGTCAGTTGCTTTTCGAACGGGTCGATGGAAACACCTCTGGTTATGACAAAATTTTGGACATCAACTCTAACATTTCAGATATCCTGAACTGACGATAACAGATCAGTATGAAACCTATATCTGAGACATTCTGTCAAACGCTAACATTATAATACACTATCTACAAGACAGGATGGTACACAGCATAATTGCACGTAATTTTTCTTGGATTTAAGTTAAAATTCCATTCTTTGATAACTAGAAGTATGTTTTCAAACAAATGAAGATGGAAAAAACGCCAATTACTATTTAGATATTCTGATTGTGCCTTTCGAAATGCCACTGAGAGATCTTGAAGAGTTCGCGCCAGATTACAAACAACGTTTTCTGCCAACTTGGCTTCTTGCGATTGTTGCCACATAGCTGAGGAACGTTTCAATTTGGATAACTGGCCAAGTTGGCTATGTGATAGATTAAACAACTGTTAAAATAAAGAATAGAATTCTAAAGTTAAATAAAACAACCAAAGCACCAAACAAATTATATTTCTACCTACAGTATAGCTTTAGAGCCGTATTGGTTGAATAACTTCTTTGGCAGAGTTATTCAGTCAAAAGCAACGTATAAACTTGGCACATGTATACATCCGTTTAAGATGCTACATCTCATTAACATGAAGAGTTGACAATGTCAAAGAAAATCGTAGAGTAGTAAAGGTAGTAACATAAACGACTAACCATCGAAGATTTAAAAAGAAAATATGGATCATTAGCCTCATTACAACCAACTCTCACGCCAGATATCATCGTCCTTCGAGATAGTTGGTGAATGGGAATACGTGATATATGCACTAGCCATCTCATCAATTGATCTACCATCCCTACTATCCTCAGGATATCTAACTCAAGATTTAAAGGGTGGAAAATGAATGGAACTATTCAGCTGCAACCGAACTTATATAACCAGAAGTCTGCAACCATTGATTAAGAACACCAAGCGTTCAAACTTAAAGGTTTACTCGTCACCTCTGAGAACTTACAAAATCAGAGTGAAACAACTAAGTTGGTGTGACGACTAAAACCGGTTCATTGAAACAGATAGTCAGTTAACTGTACATACTTTTGTAACAAACTATGAATCACCTACTCTGCAAACGACCAACAAATTTCGCTATTCCGTTCAAGGAATAAGACAGGACCTTCACGATGAAGATCAACATAAACCGGGGACAAAGCATATGACTGTAATGAAGAAAACGACTATTAAAATTATCTTTTATGAGACCAAGACCCCAACGTAGTAATTGTACTACATGAAGATATATATAAACGAAAACTGATCAGCATGTGAAATAAATTTAACCGCCAAGTACCTGAGTAAGCTCTTTAGTTTGAAACTCTATTTCCTGATCTTCATCTAAGTTGTCATCCAAATTCGAAGCCATGAGATGTCTATCATGAAGAGCAATAACTTCTTTCACTAAAAGAATCATAAAACTTGAGAAATATAGACTTACTTTTTTGTCGTATCATGCTGAACGTATACTGAAGTGAATTGACTGTGGTTTGCCTACAAGTACAATCATCACTGAGAAAAAACTAGAGACAGACCATTCATTACGTAACTTCTTAGTAGAGTTATTGACAGGAGCTTTATTTTTAGATTTGGATACCAATGATTCTTGATCAGATTTCTAAGGGAAAACGAAAGGTTAAAAATGATATTATGGCTTAATGAAGGCCAAAATGATAAAGGAACCAGTGTTGATTGAAGTCAACAAACTTTCGAGCATCTTAATGACCCAAAAGAGACATCCAGAAAAGCCTATTATAAAGTGAAATGCGGTCACATAATTGCTAAAAATTGTGTAGGTCACTAGTCACAAACTGAATGTCACAAAATCACCAGCAATCTCATACAAGCCTCGATAGATGATACAACGTACCGAGATGAGATCAGTCAACAAACTGAAACCAAAACCTTTTGAAAAACAACCGTTTTAACCTCCCATATAATTTCTGGCTGCAAAATCTTGTCCAATCACGGAACTTAGAAATTCTAAGGTCACGCTCCAGTAAATTAACCAGTACGCAGTTATAATTGAGGCCGTAACTTTATTAAATTAGCTTGCAGGTCTTGACACTGCAACATTTAATTTGGTTTAGACAAACGGAGCATAACACTGACTACCCTAGGTGCATGGTTCGAAGATAAGTACATAAACTTACTTAGTGGACGTTAACTCTATCAGAGCTAATTCTACACCACCTAATACATAATTAAAATACTCTATTATCTTATTTGTTGTATGTTAACCGGGAATACTCGGCTAATTTCCAGGACATCCTCTTTTAGTATACAACCGTAAAGTGTTAGCGCGATTTTGTGGCTTTTGAGTTTAAATGTAGTAAAGAAACGAATCAAATATATAAATCAGTTACAAACAAGCAGTTCCTATCATATTTTAGTAATCAAACATCTGACTCCATTATTTAATATCTTTGTTGCGAGCTTGTATAAACCAATTGACTAATCAAAGTGGACTAAAATAAATTCGAGATACAGACTTACATCGTCACGATAGAAACTCCTGTTTTGGAATGCATTATTTCTCATAAACGTGAAACTTTCTGTCAGAGACCTAAACGCCATCACGTATTTATATCAAGCGGGGTTTCTCAAGGCTAGATCTAACTCTCTCATCATGATGTTAAGGTACTCTAAGAGTAGCTATCCCATTTACGTTGGACTGGTAAATATGTACTTATGTAAAAGCTTCAACATTATTCACATTGAGACTGGCTAGACTTGAAATGATCAATGCACCTGTGATAGACCACTATAAATCATTCTTTTTCTTCACGAAAACATGCCAGTTGAAGACTTTTTTAGAGTTCATTGTATACGGTTATAGCAAAACCTAGTGAAATATGCCACACGGTTGCAGTAAATGACTTACTCAAATAATTCTTCAATGTACATTGTGGGTCTTCCTACTAGTTCATAGAACAGATGACCAGAAAATGGACTTGAAAGAAAATGAGACCTGGACGCCAGCAGTGTTATTTGATTCTTCTATAGATATGGATTTGTTGATGCTAATTACTTATAAGATAAAAGAATCTGTATTCTATATCTTTGGCTTCTTAAACGTTCCTGGATTAGGTTAATCTGTGGGACCTTACAAAATTAATTCTAGGTATTTGGAGCAACTCAAAACTTCATCTTGATTTCCGAAAGCATATCTTTAATCCATTTGTTGCACAAAGCAGATTGCCAAAGGACTGGAAGAACACTATAGTAAGTTTTGTTTACAAAAGTGATACGAGATACAACCGTGAAAACATTTACACTGTATGCTTAACCATTGTGGTTTTAAAATCTCAGAAGTGATTATTCTCAATAGGTTGTGTTAAGTATCCAAGTAAGAATGCGTTTTATCTGAAAAGCAGGACGGTTTGGGAACATGTTATTTGTGTTTCACAAACTTATTAGCAGCTTGTGGAATTCAGACTACTTTACGTCAGGGACTGTTATATGATGTAGTCTTCAATGACTTCAATAAATTCTCCATAAAGTTTCACATAAAAGGCTGTCATGTAGGTGAAGGAACATTAGGATCGGCGTTAACCTAACTATATGAATAAGGGGTTCCCTAGTTCGTCTCCCATAAAGTGTATATTAACTAACAGTTATCTAGCCGACAAAACTAGGAATAGTGGAGTGTTCTGTGGCACAGTTTAAGAATCAGTGTTATTCCTGTATGTAAGTTACCTTCATCATCGGTTCTTATAAGCCGACAACATGAAGATACGAGGAGGTATAAGAAAATGAAGCAAATAGATTGAATCTGTAAAACGACCTGCAAAAATAACTGAATACCCTGTAATTTGATAGATCTCCGCAACGCTTCCAGGTGCATCATAATATACTTTGATCACCAATCTAAGGATAGGTACACGGATGGTGGTGTTGGGCCATCTGTTTATAGACACATACTGATCTGGGGGTCAACGTCCCTCAAAACATGGAAACCACTGCGCACTAACGTGCGATAACCGTCATACGTTTCATAACCCTCTATTCAATACATATGACCTTTAGCCGCATAGATTTTAAGAGGTGCTCGGGTTTCCATGTAATATATATTTGTCATACTTTCTGGTGCTGATGCAGGCAACGAATCCTTGCCTGAAAAAAGAGGATGAGGAGTTGGAACACGTTCAGAAAACCTCAAATGAGTTGTTTTTTAGAACCGCGAAGTCACAGTATAGTTACAGACTAGCTAAAATAAACGTATTTCACCTGTTAAGTAAAAAGAGTAGAGGTTGTCATGATAAACTTGCATCAAATATGGTCTTACTGCTCTTCCCTTTCACAGAACGAAAGTTACGAGGTTGCTCTAAAAACGTTCACAATCCCAGAGTAAATCACTAACTAGCTGATTACCGACTTTCATGTAAATTTATCGATGTATGAAGCTGCTTGCGTCACTACACGAGTGAAGCTCCACCAGTCGATATATTGAAAAAGTCTTTCTGGAAATGGAATTGAAATTTAGGAGCCAAAGACAACAGAAATATTCTGCCCCACAAACAAGGGCGGGTTGAATTCATCACCCACACCGTCAATGTTTGCTAGTCAGCAAATTCATTATAACGTATGAAATACCAATATTCTGTGCAAATACATAACCGGCGAGCCTAAGTTTAAACCGACTAGATCAGACAACATCCTTCTGTATAGCATATGAGGTGTTTTTGACGACTCCTATTAAATTAAATCGAGACACAAACTCTGTTTAAATTTAAACTTCTCTTACTTAAAATAATAATAGGCTGTATCACAAGTACAAAGTGCCTCAAACGGTACAGCCAGTGTTATGCAGTCAAGGGTTTTTTAACTTTAGATAACATGTTGACAACAAAGGGAATGAGTAATAAGCAAAAGTTCGATACCCAAAAACCAGTAGAAATATTCTCAACAAGATGTGATTAGACGTCTATTTACAAGGATTCCGGCAACCTTTCCAAATAGACAGTCTGAGGATAATAGTCATACACTGAACCATTCTGTGACTTTAGGTTTGGCCAAACACGACCTTGCTGTCAATAGTCCGGCAACATGCAACATTAGGACTAGATAACTAAAGGTGCTTCTTTAACGAGGGCCATATGATAAAGGCTCAGGCGAAAAAGACAGTGAAACCCAAAGTGTGGTTAAAAGAGAGCTGAGTGAAGGTTAAAATAGGCTGCAGGGAGAAGAAGAGGATAAATGACAATACTGTCCAATATAATGCTCTAAGGGGAATTTCAGTGTGTTCTTTCCGTTGCAACCATCCTCTTCTATTTTGATAATACGCATTTTAAAGTTGTTTGCTAGATAATGGTTATGTTTTATTTCCATTGTTTATGTTCTACTCATTGTCAGAGAAAAAATAATTCCTTAGTTACCTTGAGCAAGCATATCGGACAATCAATTCTGGTAGACCGTTAATGTGGCATCGAAACAATGTTCCCTAGTAGCACAGGATAGAATGTTTAATTCCAAACATAATAAGGTGGTGTCAACAAACGAGTAGAAGGAAGAGTGATGGAATCCAATAATTTCAAGTCAAAGAGTATGTATTTGTAAGAAAGTGGTTGAACAGTAAGATATATATAGTAAACTCTTCAGGGTCCACCAAAAAGCCACTTGAATAATATTGTTTAAGGAGAATTAATATTAAAGCTATTTGTTTCGTTTGCTCGTAACGGATGTTTTCCTTCTGAAACTTAAGCTTCCATCCTGGTTAGGTCTGGTGGTGTTAAACTCTATAACATGAAATTACCTATGTCATCCTTGCTATGAAGAGGTAGGGAAGAATAGTGAACAGAAGTGGTCATGCTAATTAGCATTATTGTTGCCCAGGTTTTTATCATTAAATTCATTTATTGTTGTGCTTATGCTATTGGCGTTTGCAATTGTTGTCAATGAGTTTCTTTCCTGGGCAGCTGCTCAATCGCTTTTAGTTCACAGGGACGGCAAACGGGTTCATTAAAATGCAACAGCTAGTTTTCGTAGATTATGTATTACGTTAGAGATATAGAAACTTCCTCCGACAAATCTTGAGTTTTCTTTGCATTATGATCATAATAATTTCTAGACATCCTACTCTGATTCGTTAGTAATTGCCAATGTTTTTCGAAAACATCCTGAAATTTTTATCTTACGGCTCTTTCAATACAAAAGGTAGTTTAATCCAGAATCTTGAAGTACGTTACGTGTTCGTTGAAAGTCGTTTTAATTACTGGGGCAAACTAGAAGCCTACGAAAAACTTTTGTACCAACCTGAAACAAAGCTATAAAGTAGTTGAAAAGATGCGTTATTCTTCCTACTGAGTAGGTTTTCTTATTATGTGGGCTTCTGGAGGAAACGCAGCTCACTCCTCTGAAAAATGATAAGTGAAAACCTTGAGAAAGGAAAATACTTGTTTAGGCTAGTTTGTTAAAACCATGGAAAATAAGATATCACAGTGCAATTTTAAATAAACGCCATAAACTGTAATCTTAGATATCAACCAAAAATTTGACTAGATAGACCTGCATATTATGTGTTTGTGGTTTGTTTGTAAAAGCTACAGTACCAAATCTATTGATCTTAAGTATGACAGAAATGGAATTTTCTGGCCTATAAAACCGTTAAGAATCTTAGCAAATCCCAAAAATTGAAAGTTTCTTTCATTAGATGAGAAGCATGATGAAAGTTCCATTCGTGCACAATCTAGTGCATCGTCATTAGGTTTATGGAATTCCGTAATCGGTAATAACTTTGGATATACAGTTTACAAAGTGCCTGTGAAATTAAGAAATGATTGTGACAACGCTTCATTCTACTCGGAATGTATTACATTTTACACGCGTAAAACCAGATGGTTCAAATGTGTTATCCGTATTTTCTGTTTTTTGAAAGAATGCGAGTGAATGAACTCCTTGCTAACTAAAACACCTTGTTTCAAAAATCGGTCAGCCGTTTACACTTTTTAAAAATAACACTACTGCATTTTTCCATATGTTTACGATATCTTTTGTCCAACCATTACTACTCTCTATTAGCTTATCAAAAGGTGGATATTCTTGTTCCGACTATCATCACAGGTGTCAAGATTTACAGAAAGATATGATCGGATTTTATTTTATAAACAGCGTCAATCAATACAAATTCACTTATTTGTGCATATTTCATAATTCATAATTTCAGCGAGTGTGAGTCTGAATCAATACCAAAATGTATTTAATTTATAAAGGTGTGAGTAATTCAGACAATACGATTTCTGATTAGCCACTTGCCATAAAATCCTTGAATTAGTCCTAACAGATCTTCAGGGGATTTTTAATCTTTCAAATTGGAGAAAATCGGAGCACTCAACATCGGCACGAAAGCATATGTATGTGCTAAGCCTTTCACTATAGATGAGTAGTAAGTCATAATTTCATGTCGAGGCAACGCAAAAAAATCAGTAGTGCCAATAGTCCACAAATTTTTTCACGTCCGAGAGAACCATTTTTCAGGTGGCTAAAGTGTCCATCGGACCTAGATATTCTATCATTGTTGAGCACTCATCTCAGGAATCTGACATTGTAAATGAGACCTTATGGGATCAAAAAGAAATCAGCAGATGTCACGTTAACCGGCCTTCGTAATCGCGTCATTCAATCAATTAAATGGGATTCTCGATTTATTCGTAGATGCGATACTTCGGCTAACATTTGAGGTATAAATAGCCAAACATGAGACTTATGAACAGAACATCAAACAACCTATCAATATACATAAGTGTCTGAATTCCAGTTTCCGTTGTTAATTTCAAGAGCAACAAATGCATTCAGTACACAGTTAGGGAGACACATGGTGAGACTAAGGAAAACAAGTATAATCGATTTAAGAAATTTAAATTCTAATTTTAGCTGTGACGGATGTGGTATTTGCACTAACTAGTGATTACCTGCTAATTACGAACTGTTTATATAATAGGTTCATTTGTGCTCTCTTGGTTTTACTCGCTGTTAACTGTACTATTTCAAGAATTCCTAGTTATTGTATCACTTAGTATGCTTTTAATTATCATTGCTGTATATGAAATTAGGTGATGCATAATATTCAGGTGAGTAGACAGATGAATAAAACAACTAAGCGTCCACGCATACACATACGTATGTGGATAAGACATAAATTAGGATCAGCCCAAGGAAATAGTAATAATACAAGGTGAAAAAGTGCTCATCCGGATTGTGATGATTTCAACTACAGAAAAAGGGTTGCACAATGTTATGATAATAACTGATACAAAGTTTTGTGGACGATGAGCATTAAAATTTTTTAAAAAGCATTTTGTACTATGTGGCTAACCTCTTAGAATGTTAAACAATCGACGATGCACTCGAATAATTAAAAGGCTCTGGTCTTCACTACTTCTTATTGGAACAAAGATAACTATAATATGGTATATTGCTTGATGTAACTGAAGCATTAAAAATCGTCCTTTCTTCGTCAGAAATCAAACCAGTACAGTAACAGCTTGTCAAACTGACAAACTGAACATGTGTCTCAAGAGAAGTTTCGGACGTTTTTGACTGTCGTCTGGATTTCATACTGGCGTAAAATGACCGGTGATATTCTTCGAAGCACAATTACAAACAATATCCCCAAACTTCAGGTCCGTGTGTTTACTTTAGTTCAATTTAATACAGACCATCAAAGGCGCTTGAGAGTTCGTTTGGACATCACCATTATTACTGCTTCTCGTTTGTGATATCATGACTTCTATATTTTAATAGTAATAGTATGCTATAAAATGGGGCATAGAGTGTACGCGAATTTTAAGTCGCTTTCTGGTTGATACAGACCAATATGTAATATAGGCGCACTCCGTCAAATCGCTCATAAGTTCTGGATAATTTCAAATAAATTGTTTGAGAAAATTCTGTTGATGATATGCAACATCCAATATACACAGCACCATTCATCATCTCTTCAGTCTGTGGAAGATAATCGAATATAATGATGCAGTGAAGTGATCGGTCGTAAAACCTTTTAACCATCCTACCACCCATCCAGAAGTTTAATAGGACTTCGGCTTCAGCTGATCACATGATACTATCTTACTTCTCACTCGAAGGCAACATATGGGCCAGGTTCCATGAAAGTATCTCAGTAGGAAAACCATTGCAGTCACAACTCATTTTTTCTGAAAACCACTTCAATAAACCTGAAAAGCCAGTGATACAAGTAAGCGATTTACTTTTATAAGCTCTTCCTCTTATGTACCACAAACCCATCACATCCTACTCTCAAACTCACGTATTTCACCCAGACCCAGTCAAAGGATACTGAGTTGCCTTTATTTATAAAGAAATTTGAGTGAAAACACAAAAACAACTAAAAACAGAAGGGTTTCAACCCAAGATGCAAGCACGTTGCTGCTTTCATAAGTTTACTGTGTTTGAACATACTGTTATACGGTTATACTTTAAGTCAGTAAATTCATATTATTTGTAATAATACCGCTACTTTGGATTATCTATTTTGTTTTCGCTACATTGAGTGTTTATTCAAACAATCTTTTTAAAGTCGCAAATGCAGGAACAGTCAAAACGTCAAAAGTTTTTGAGTATGGTGGAGAAAATGCATGCGGAACCTAACGAACTAGAGGAACTTACAGAACATGAGAAGTTTGCTTTATTTTCTGCCATTAAAAGCGTATGAAAATTCTTTAGCATAATGCATTTTATCTTTCCAGGAACAAATCAAGAGATATAACAAGTGGGTTGCGGATGAAGAACAGTTTTCGAGTAAGTTATAATGATACATTATGTCTTTATATCTTTTGATTCAATTAAAGTGAATATCCATCCTTAAATAGAATTATTATTAGTTATATTAAGCTAACAGTGGTTTTATGATACTAATTGTATTTCTCAATTGACTTTTTATGGTCAAACATATTGTAATTCTTGTATAGACATTTTGAAATAAGACAATTTTCCACATAACTGTAGGTAAATGATTATTTTTCAACTGCTTCCTTCCTTACAGTAATAAAATTATATTGATTTATCGGTACATCAGCAGTATAATTTAAAGTAGTCAGATTTGATTGCAGACTAAATCTTCTCAGAATAGCCTTACTTAAGGCAGATACGCCTCATTGAGTATGACTGAACGTATTGTATTCGGAGTTCGAAGCAACCGCGGAATAATATGCAGAGGAACCACAGAATTCTACAGGCAGATAAGTAGAACAGTTAATTTTTCTGTACATACAGAAAAATTTGGAAATATTCCCAAATTTTTGCCCGGGTGTTTTTATCCAAATATTTGTATTCACTTTTGGTACTAAATCATATTGCAAGTTACAGGGAACAGTTAAATGGATAATCTATTTCGGTATTATTTTCAAGCTAAATTTCACTCTGGCGTACAGCCGGTTGCATTCTACACGTAAGAAACGGGAACATTTACTGACACTTCTATTTATTTAGGTTTCAGCTTGTAAAGAGCAGAAAACTGGTAGACTGTAATAGTCTTAGCATTCACAAAACTTAGATGTAATGTTCTCAAAAGTGCATCTTCAAAAAGAGCTGCACACATACTTTGAGGCGAAGACTTATGTTGTTAATGACTAGACGGGATGATTAGTTGGTTTTGATGTTCATGCACATTGTCTGCTCCGAAAGGCAAGAGAAAAACGCATGTAAGTTGTCAGTAAGTAATATGGAAGCTTAGATTAATTTGTATCTAACAATTCTGCTAAATAAGGAGAATAGTTCAGTTAGCTTTTAAATTCAGGGAATCGATATACTTGCGTCTATTTAAAACCTTGGCGACATCCCGCTGCTTCATTCTAGTCAGGATATCTGTGTCTGAGTGCAGTACTCAAGTTCTTTCACTGAATACTACATATAACCAAACATATCCTAACAAATAAGTTGCGGTATGTCCTAATAAATGAATTAAAGCATCAAAACCTTTAACATGGCTATAAACAGTTGCTTATTGATGTTTATTGGTGATAAAAATTTGATTTTTGTGTGTCTAAAAATAAATAGTTAAATATCATTAAACATGTGTTTGTTTGCTCTTTAATACTGTAAAGTATAGTCATGATAGCAATCAGTTTGTCTAACTTCATGTACTAACTGAAACCAAGACATTTTGGTATTTACTGCAATGCTTTTTACTGTTTAGTTTCGAAATTCTTTTAGTCATGAAAGTTCTTTAAACATTAGCAGGAAATGTTCACTTTACTGAGTCTTTTGAGGACATTGTAGTATCAGTTCATCCAGTACTTTTTATCTGTATCATACCGCCATGTGAACCTGTCGCACATGTTTGATATCTTCGGAGACCCATGGGAAACGACTGCCAGCAAATTTTTGATTCTACGACTATTCAAATGTAAAGTTTGTCTTACGACATTTGTCTGTCATATGCTATTTAATAGAACGGTTCATTTCTAGTTAGAAGAACAGAGCGCTGGAATGTTGCGTTCAGGCTACTGATATGAACTTTATTTCAAGTCAAGCTTCTTTTGGTGGTTATTGAGCAGCTAAATACATTTAGATATTTTGAATGTTTCAAAGCATTCTAAAGGTTTTGTTTTACATTTTTAGATTTTTTGTTTTATCTACAGTAATAGCGTTTTCATCTTAGACTTATTTTACAGTTTTTACTTTATGTCTTTACATAAAAAGCAACCATATTTGGATATTATAAAGACATTTTAGTATAGACCAAACAGTATTTATGAATGTGTTCGTAAACGTAGTATTCTCTCCGCAATATTTAATTCTGACAAAAGTAATTGGTAAACCGTTATGAATAATCATTTGATATGCTAACCACAACCACTGGAGTAAGGTACTTACCGACGGATTAAATTGAATAGTTATCATGCAGTACAATAAATAAACCAGATTTTAAAAACATAGAGATTTAGTTTGGTGTCAATAGTCTAATGGTTTTAAATTGATGGACTTACAGTCTCATGTTCATTTCTACTGACTTATTGAGTGTTTGAAGCCCTTACTAATCTACGGACAAACATAAACTGAAATTTATCTTTTTTTATGTAACGTAATTTCATAATCAAAATGTTTTTGACATTAAATGGATAAGAACATGTATATGAATTTCGTTAAGCAAGCCACAATATTGAAAATCATTTAAATTTGAGTTATAAATTTATCAGAAGTTTTTTTCACCCTACGAACGTATTTGTTAAAGAGGGTACTTGAGTTTTTTTTTCACGGTCACTAGATATGATACACGTTTAAAATCAATAGCGTCTTGCAAAAAAGTGTTTAAAATGTTCGAATTCATTATTAGTTGGGCGATAAATTCAGATATATGTTTTATTTACCACGTTTTACTTGTTAAAATACGTTCTACACATTTTTACTGACTACCAACACCACAGTATTATTCAAAATGTAGACAATTATATTATAACACAAATAGGCTTAGATCAAACAAAATGTGACAGCATTCAATGAGTTTTCCGGTCGTTAAGGTTTAATGTTTATGAAACGGCAAATTTCTTAGCGAGAGTCGATAAGATAACTGGAGTTAAAAGTCAATGACCTCAGACGGTATACCTACATCATAATCACATAACATATACCAGTTCATTCATCATCCATAATCGGATCCTAGACATCCACTTACCATATTATTTTATTACCTGTTTCCGCTAATTGTTTAGTCTTTCTTTTGGTGTTTTAATGTAATAGTAGTAAAAGTACAAATTATCATAGTTACCGCTAATAGTTTTTTGATATTGCTTTAAAAAATACAGTATAATCGAGATTATTTAAAAACTGATAGGTTATATAAACCTTTTTATTGTTAAATGTCCTAAAAGTGTGCTAACAAAATAGGCAAGGTAGCAAAAAACGGTGACATATTTAAGTCAATTAGACATGCATAATCATAAACAATTTTGGTAAACACATATGTTTATCGGTTAGGTGTTACTTAGGAAATAGTGTTATTATGTAAAACAAAACTTGGTGCTTCCTTCATAAAAAGTATATAACTAACTGTAAAATCATGTTTTTTCTAAATCTAACGATGAAGAGCGGGATTATTTATAGTGTCTTGCATTTAAGGAGTTCATATCACGGAACCATAACTGATCAAATAGTATCCTAGACACAAATAAGTAGAAAACACAAGCATTTGCATTTGGACAAGTGTTTGCGACTATAAATTTGTAGCTTGGTAGATTTCACTTTGAACAGGGTCCTGAAATCACTTGTCATTGTAAGCGTTAATAAAAAATTCACTGATTAATTCAACTTATGTAACATAAATTACGAAACATTTCCCAAACATTCCATAGCTAACTGTTTCATAACGTATAAACCGTTTTGAAGTACTTGAACATTTACTCTAATATATTTTATTGTTTTTAATAGTTTCAAAGATTCTAAATTAAAGTATAAGTATCAGATGATTTATGAAGCGTATAAGCATCGCTTGAAGTTCAAATGATTTCACCGTTTATTGTTTCATAAAGTAAGCTGTCTTAACGTGAACAGTCTGAGCATTATTTAAACTACTTAGTACTTCTACAAATATATCTTTTCGACTGATAACCTCCCTATTGTGACCAGTGACACATTCATTCACTAAGACATTCTCAATGCTAGACGAACAAAAGTAAAACTCACAACAGAAAACTGTATGTAACTTAACAATTAGTGTCAGAATATAATCTGTACTGTAATAATGCGTAGAAATAGTAATAGATTATTTAATCATTGCAAAGTTTTATTTATTTCAAGCTGAAATCAGTGAATGTTTCGAAATGTATCTATCGCCTTAGCTAAGCATATGCTCCACCGTTTTTGTATTGACAGAACACCCTCTTAGGTCTGTATTACCTGCTTACTTACGCCTGGTATCCCTCGCGGTGAAGCATAGGCCGCCCGCCATCCTTCTCCATCAAACCCTGTCCTGGACACTCCCTTTAGTTCTTTTCATTTGTTATTCATTGTTTTCATGTCTGCTTCCGATCTCCTATTATGCTAATTATAAATTTCATTAATTTGATAAGACTAAAAATGAGGCATTTTGTTCGTTCACTAAAAACCATTGCTTCATTTTTTCAGCGGCCAACGGATAAAAAATATTACCCCTAGAATCCCATTTTATACTTTAAGTAACCGAAGCTATTGAAACTTATATAGGCATTATCGTTCATAAATAACAAATTTCTCAGATCATCCGTATCAGATGATCATTTTAGTATTCTCGTCAATAAGTTTGTGCAAAAACGTATTCTCATATTAGTTATTTTTTCTATGTTACAATCAAAGACATGGTTAAATTGATTAATATTGTGTGAAGCAAAGCCAACGAGTTCATAATACTAGTGATTTAGTAGCAGTCATATATGAATCGTTATTATTCATTTAAAAAAATTGTTAAACACATTGCTTTTACCCTGGTCATTGCTGTTAAGACGAGTAGATCCGACAAAAGTGTTTTCACCATCGACTTACATCATCTGTGAAGCTACTGGAAGCTAGTAATATTTGGTGAGCTATTTTGTTCTGGTATGGGACTTCTTTACAACGAGTACAAGTGGTCACTCCGAAGACACAACCTGCTGTCTCCAGTGACTTTATACTCAATGGCTGTCATGCATTCTCACTGATGCCACATGCCACACACCTGTGATGCTTAAAATCCACTGATTATGACTTGACTTTTAAAATAACTGAGGTCATAGTAGTAAGCCTTTGGATCCGTAGTCAAACTACATACAACTTGACTTCAAAGGTTT